TATAGAGACTTGTCATAATGAAATACCGGAACCTCTACTTGTTTTGAATTCTAATACTTTCTTTTTTAGAGCTTATTCTTTCGGGCTTGTATAGAGTTTGGGGGGATAATTTCGATGAAGATATATGGTCATAATTGAAGGGAGTACAATAAAATGCATCCTTCTTTTCACTGAGTGGCAGTGTAATGCTGGGGAATATTCCTAGAAAGATCACGTTCTGTGAGATCTAAATAACCTGCTTTAGAAGAACAGGTAGACTGTTCAATAGCTAACTGGGATTGTATCCTTGTACATATATGATTTATTTTTATTTATTTACTTTTATTATTAATCGATGAAGGGCTGGGTTACTTTCGATTTTATAGAACGGTTGCTTATTTTTAAGATATTTCAAGTTTTAGTTCCATATGTTTTTATGGTTACAATAAATTTATACTGGTAACGTAGAAATCTCTGCCCTGTGTACAGTTATAACCTGAAACGTTTGATATAACAGTTGACAAAGTTAATTAACGAAAATGCATAGCTAAAATTACTCATTTGTTTGGACAATATCTATTATCCCAATTAAATTCACACTGTTACTTGACATATGACGGCTACATTACTGAATAATTCAGTTGGATAAATCAGAATGATTTCAAACTTTTCACAATAATTAACAGTTAGAAAATATTCGCAAGCAGCTTTAAACGCCGAATCAGTCTTCCACAACAAACAAGCTGTCAAATTAATGTATCCAGTTTTATCATCATATGACGTTCAATTACAATGTTAAGCAAAAGTGATGTTAAAACAAATTGTGTATTTGTATGTACATGCTATCGAATGTGCATCACAAACAATTTATTATCGTAAATGATACTTTCCATACATCTATTGACAATGATAAAAAACCTTAAAGGCGTTTTTATCAAATATTTAAGTAAATGTACTACAACACGAAGATATCTTGTGATGATTAGAAATAACTAAATGTCACTTATTCGAGTTAAACTTAGTAAATGTCACAAATAATATGCAATAATGATCTGTGGAAGACCTATTTTTCAAGAAAAAATTGGAGGGATTGAGATTATAACCAATAACAATAGTGACTAATAACTGCATAAGTAAAGACGCTGTATATATATATATATATATATATATATATATATATATATATATATATATATATATATATATATATATATATATATCGTTTGGATGATGAATTCATGACGATTATAGCTATTTGAGGGTAAGTCACGAGAACAACACTATCATATTTTTTTCATATTTGTAGTTTTACATTGTCGACCAATTTCAGTTGTAAAATCATTAGATACCACGAAGCAATGAACAGTTGTTTATCTTGAATTGGCCCCGCTTAAACGTCGATGGCAAGGTCGTGAATGTACTACACAAGCGTGGTCTACTGTTAGGATGGAATGACCTTCTAGTTCATCCTCGTTTGCTACACCTTTTAAATATAACCAGTCCCCGATGTAAACCTGCCAGTTCAACAATGTACTTAGCTCCTTGCAATACACATATTTGTTAAGTGTCAAAACATTGATATCAAATTTCAACATACTTTTTGGAGGATGTTAAATATCATTTTAGCAGTGATGTTAATGATAGATTTGAAAGATATTTGCTTTTAAAAGTCATTGCAAATGATTCAGAAACTTTCCATCATAATTATTATTGTAACTATTTTGTACAGTTCATGCTTGTTAGTTGTTTTCTTATTTCATACTAATCGGAAAAGTATATGAAAGCAATGTATGTCTTCTTTGCAACATTCATAAGTTTATTCAATAATTTCAAAATATTTATTCATAACTATTTAATGACGATTGTTAAAAACGCAAAACAAACTTGATTAAAACTAATGAATGTTGATTAAAACAAGGAAATTTCAGTACCCGCTGAAATCAATTCATACAATTAAAAAAACTTTTTAGTCTTTCATAGGAAGCTTTTTGAACTAAAATATGTTTAGTCATTTTCATTAAAATGTTTTTATTATTCAACTTCTAAGGGTATTTTACAATTTCTATAGAACCCAGATATCCGATAGACTAATACACTGGTATTGAAGTTATGTATACATAATTAATAATAAGCAATTATAAAAGTTTAATCTTTTACTCAAGCTACTATAAGTAGTACAAGAATTATTTTAAAATTAGGAGAGAAAACATGTGATAACCATAAAGTGCTTTTTATACAGAAGATCCCATTTTTTGAGATTATTTTGTATCATTTATCAATCATTGAACAAGGTTTACGCAAATGAATTAATTGTTTAATGCCGTATGCAGGATCGTGGATATGTACTGCTGAGGTCTCCCATATTAGGACGAAACGTCCGTTCAGTGCTTCCAGGTTTTCAATGGTGGTCTAGCTCAGATTAATTTATGAATTCAACTATTAAAAATAGAAATTAGTTACCAAGTTAAGTGAAGATTATCTTATTTTAATCTAGAGGTATATGAACGTGGATTTATCAAATAGAATGAAATGGAATTAATCTCTAAAATTTTGTAGGAACAATTTCTCTATTTTACTCATAACCAACAGTGTGTGTAATCAGTTAATATATCTATCAAATACCTTTGCTAGATAACTCAATGAACTTCTTTGATTTTGTGACTGTCTGATTTTTCGTTTATAACTAAAAGAATCTTTTTACCGGAGCTTGAATACATTCACTCAATAGTCGACTTAAATGATGATGCAAATATCTATGTTTTACAGCACTTATCAGAACAGTATAACATTGCAAAGCATACTGTTACCTTATTATTGCATCTTTTGATCAGAATTATTCAGATTCCTACCTAAAGTTAGTTGGTTATCGTAAGTTTAGTCCTCTTAATCCATCCCCAGTTGCGACACGAGGACCAAAACGTCTTCTCAGCATCCAGCTGCATAGAATCACTTTAATTTAAACGATCATTTGACAAATTTTAAATTCATCACAGAATTTATCGAAAAGCTTAGTCAATGGAACCAGTTTTATCACTGTAGCGTAACACATGAAATCTTCAAGTAAATGGTTAGTATCATAAAAAAATATGACTGGTAGGTTTTTTGATTTGAGGGAAATGCCTGTAAAAATTAGTTGAAAGTGAACATGATTCATATAATGAATAAAATGATTTTCAACCTATAAGTGAGTTAGTTTGTCATGTAGAATAATTTATTACCAAGGTTTTTCATTTAGGGAGAAGTTTATTCACTTCAAGTTTTGCACAATTTGTTGATATTCGTCTTTCTCACCTCTGAAAATTTGAAAATAAATAGGTAAAGATTCGGTGGTTCTCATCTCATTACAAAGCTCATTGTCCCAATCACATATAGGGTCATCGGTATTTATCTTTAAAGAGTTCAAAATGTAGGGTAAATATCTCTTTAATATATCTTGGTATACAATGATATTTCAAACGATCTGAGTTCAGTGGGCATTGTTTCTAAATTCTTCAAAGAATTTTAGAAAAAATCTTCAACCAAGAAGAATTAAAACGGCATTATATAATGTTTTGTAAGTAGTATATATGATCTGGTAGTCAGGAACATTGATTAGCAATAATCATTTGGTATTTTCTAGAAATTCTCGAATATACAGATTATACAATAAATGAAATATAAAATAAATGGTTCTTTGTTCACGTATTTTGTCAAAGCATATAATTGATGTATTCTAATTTCAGTAGCATTTTATACACATTATAACAATTTAGACATATTTTCCTTTAGTGGGGTATTTATTGAAAGTGTTGCATTGCTTTAAAGATCACTTTTGTGATGAATTAACACCAGCCTAGAGCATAACTATCATACTTAGAAGAGCTGAGTAGCAGTTTCTTTTCAGTTAGTGGCCTTTTTAACCAATTACATCTATGACAAAAAACTAGTTATGCGAAATATCATGAATGTGTATATACGTCACAAAATGTTTGTTTACTTATCTTACATAAGAAAACATATACGTAACTACAGGAAAATCATTCGCAATGGAGTAAACTATCTATCCTTCAGCTATTAAAGATCACTTAATGTTGAACATTTTCTCAATCTTCTAAAAATAAATATGTCCTCTCTCATAGTAAATATATGTTTTTCAGTCTTTATATTTTCTTAATTTTCAGCCAAACATTTATGCAATACATTCAATAAAATATTTATTACTTATATATCACCATATACGTATAGATAATTTATTGTGGTGTAAGTATATTTATCAACAATAATTTTCAGTACAAATGTCAAGACAGTTTTACTGTATGGGGCGGTAACTTAGAGAACTACGAAAGCTATCAACCAGAAGATACAAGTGTTTATCAACAGCTGTCAAAATACTTTGGATCCGTTGGCCAGACACTATCAACAACAACCTACTGTGGGAGAGAACAAACCAGATCCCAGTGGAGAAAGAAATCATGAAGAAGCGCTGGAAGTGGATAGCGCATACACATTGAGGAAAGCACCCAACTGCGTCACAAGGCAAGCTCTCCCTTAGAATCCTGAAGGCCAAAGGAGGAGAGGAAGATCAAAGAACACACTACGCCGAGAAATGGAGACAGACATGAGAAGAATGAACAACAGTTGAATGGAACTTGAAAGGAAGGTCCAGGACAGAGTGGATTGGAGAATGCTGATCAGCGGCCTATGCTCCATTAGGAGTAACAGGCGTAAGTAAGTATTTATATCTGTGCATCACTAGGTCATTATCTTTATGATGACTGAATCCCAGTGATAACAATGTTAATAAGTAGTTTAGTTATGTATTAAATAACTATTTAAAAAAGTCATAAATGTTGGTAATTTTTTCATGAGTTATCAATTTTTTTTCCTACCTCATTTTTATTTTCCTCAAGGTCGTCTAATTCTCCTCCTACGGAAATTTACTCTCTTTCAATTTGACCAAATATAAACTAGCCCATTTTTTAATATTTCCCTATTGGTTCATTGATATTAAAACTTAATAGAATGAGAAGAGAATATAATAAAAGAGATTGAAACATATCACGTGTGAACTAAATAGATAATCTATCTTTCTAACCCGTTTTCATCTATGAGTTAAAATAATCGATCAGAAAGTTGACTTATTATTATAAATAAGTTTAATTGAAATTCATTACAATAATGAAAATATGTAGTGTTATGTAGTAGTACCTTTTCAAATGAACTTAAAAAAGGTAAGTTATATCCTTTTTTTTGCTTCAAAGTATTACATTACTAAGATTGAATATAATTTTTATCACTAGCTGATCTTAGCTACAAAACCGTTGAATACTAAAGAGAACTAGTCAATTGATTCATCTTAATTTAGAACGTTTCAGTTCAATGTATCCACATTTCTATATTAGATTAAACCAAGACTTTATTAGTTTTATTTCCTTTTCTGGCATCAGGTTGTGATGATTACTCTATTGAAAATCTAATAACATCTTCAGAAGAATACTTTACTTAATATTCTCAATTATTTCTTCTCTTTTAATTATAGCTTATCATATTCTTCTTGTTACTTTTTCTAACGAATTTGTGCGGTCTAATACTGGCTAGCAATTATGATCAGTACATAGATAGATTGATAAATGATGGAAAATTATTATATGATGATTATATAAAACAAAATCCTAGTTTAGAATCAACATTAGAACGTTTATATTCAATGGAACATCCAATTTTTCAAGACGATTATCCAGAAAATTATGAAATTACTGATAAACAATGGAATGCGTTATTAAACGAAATCAATCAAGCTAAATTAGGCAAACTAGAAGAAAATGATATTGATAAACCAAAATTTATGTATTCAAATTTTAACGAAAAATCAAATGATAATTATGAATTAAATTCAAATAGAAATAATATTAATAAAGTTTTAAATGAACCAAGTTTAACAGAACGTCGAAATGAAATTGCTTATCAAAATTCTCTATGGGGTGAACATAAAGTTTCTGGAGGTTCCAGTGAAACAGGTCAGTGGATAGATTATGCTTTATTGGGAGCTGAAGCACAAGATACAACAGCTAATAATTTAAATCTATCTAGTGAGCTGGAATCATCTCATATAGAATCTAAATTTGATAATTTACCTGCTTATTGTGATCCACCAAATCCATGTCCATTAAATTATAAATCAAATGATTTACCAACACCTTGTGATCAAGATATTGAAGATACTATTGATTTTAATCGACATTGGATAATAAGAAAAATGCAAAATGGTGAATGTTCATGTGATAATGAACATATGGATAACTGTCCAGTTGAATCAAATGAAAATGGACATAAAACTAATTTTATGTCTGGACAAAAGACTGATGGAAAAGTAAGTCGTTAGATTCCATAAATTGTTTTAAAACAAATGTTTGAATTCCAAAAAACCATATTAGCTTCTTAAAACATTGCATTGGAGAATTAGCTCATATAAACTACTGATAATGATTTCGGTTCTTATTAGGTTCGTAAATTCTTACTGCTCAGGAGTCCCATACTAAGGTAAAACATTCTCCTGATACTCACTGGTCATCAGTGGTATTATACTGAGATTCAACCATGACGAAGACTATTTGTCGGCTAAAATAATCACCAAAATCACTTTATCCAAACTATTCAGTTATGTTTAATTCAAAGATTAAAGGGATAAAAACGTTAATTTGTTGGCATAGTTTTTTTACATATAAAACTGAATTGATATTTAAGTTATGTGTAAGTCATATATAATTCAGATATTATTGTTCATTAAAAAAATCCACACTTATACACTGATAGATTTTACGATTATGAAATTAATGTACTTCATCGTCTTGATACTTCCGTTAAAGTCAGAAGCTAGAGTTCGCAATCACTTTTAACATCGAAATCTTATCAACTCATATGCTGGCTTACGGTTGAATTCAAACTCATAAACACATACTCACTGCTTCTTAGTAATGGATTGCTGAGTAGCGATCTATGTCTTTTTTATCTAGTCCTTTTAGTGTTGATAGATTTCCATCCATCATATTCCAATGTGACCACTAACTTAAAGTGACTTGATACCGCACGTACTATGCTGAGATGTTGGGTGGTTAGAAGTAGTCGACTGGAAACCCTGGACCTAGGTTACATGTAAATATTTCAGTCCTTCTGAAGGTCAGTAGTTACCCGAATATCAAGGTGGTTGAGTCGTAGACTGTGAAGTTAGGTGACATAAAGTCAAACAAGCTAGTTCCCGCAAGATTTCAGTTACATTTTAATGACGAGTGGCAACCACAAAGAAACTTAGATCCAGGGCTTTCTGTCGAATACATTCAACCACCTAACATTTCAACATATATTGGTTATACCCTATTTAATTTTTATAATCTAATGTCTTCTTTGCAAAATTATAGATTTTCTTGGTAAATCCATATCTACGAGGAGAAAGTCGTAAAAGGCTGGTAGCTAAAAAACGAGTTAAACGTTCACACGTATGTTATAATTTATTGTTCGGATTTAGACTTTAGCTCGAATTATTGTCAAGTTGACATACAATTTTATGAAAGAAATTCATAATATGTCATTCATGCACTAAGTCAGTGACTTAGAATTGAACTCATTAAATAATGTCACATAATTGTGATAAACATGTTTTATTTGTACGAAAATCGAAAATATATTTTTGATAATAAAATTCAACTAAAATGTAATATGTATCAGACTATTTAATTTACTCAGTAAAACAAAGAACTGACTGTCGAAAAACTATGTTTGTGTTATTTTGATCAGTCTATAGTTATATATAATATACCCTTGTGAGTCAGGGTAATTTTACATTGGTTTTCAGGAGAACCAGACACCGCCCAGGCTTAAACCCTATACCCCGAGCAATACAGCTCAATCCCACTTCACAGGAGAACCAGATACCATGTAGGCTTTAACGCTACAATCTGAATAGTAAAGCTCAATCCTGTGGCTCAAACACACAGGTATTAAGCACTCTGATGGATCATTCGCACCATTCATATAGACATTCACGTCACATGTGTGGTTATTCCGATCAATGATCGCGCGAGACAATTATACAAAGCACGAACAGGCCAAAGTTGATCTATTCCGCTTGCACGTCAGTCAAACTCACTGATGTTAGCAATGGCGACATGCCTTACAATATCCCAATGACAGTGGCCCTTGAGAACACTGGAAAGCAACCAACAAACCAATTTTCTTCATGGAGAGTCAGCAAAACTTGCCAAAGTAATGTCGGACCATCCACAATATCAACGGCAAACCTCCAGTCTTTACATAGGAATATAGCTTATACTATTCTAGTAATAGTATTCCGACACCAGACAATGGGTTTTAAGCGTTATTTAAGTCCTAACGCTTCAGGCTGAGCTATTCCGTTTACTACCCTACAAATATGTTTTATGCAGTATAAGCTATATTGATCAGTCTATAGTTCGCCAAATTATTTTATGCTCCTGTATTACTGACTGTCTCTTATAATGATTTATAATGTATGTAGAACTGAATAAAACTAAAATTAAATAATCCTAAGGAAATTTGATTTGTACATTTCACATGGCTCACGACTATCATGTTTGTACTGACAATATATAATAGAACAATTTAATCTTAAGTAACTTTAAGTACACTTTGAAAATATCTGTCAATATGTGTAATTTATGTTACTGAAATATTTATTAACTCTATGGTCAGTCATAGCATATCTGATAGTTATAATAGATAGTCATAAAATAAACAATTAGATTTTCAAATTAGATATTTTGTCTTACTCCATACGAAAATAATGATACTACTAATTAACATAATGTCTTAGTTTAAACTGAAATGGTCAAGTAGTTTGTGATATGAGATAATGTAAGCAAAATTCACATATCTCTGTATTTAGCACAAATTGAAATACATGGAAGGATTGTAAAATGTGTCTTCTTTTTATGTTCCAGCGATTTATATTACTCTGACAAAATGTAACATAAATAAACCAATTAAATTATTTTCTAACAATTGAAAACATTTTGCAGAATATTAGTTAATTCACCATCTGGTTGATTTTCCTGAGATGGGCATCAATATTCACAGATAATTAGATGAAGAAATTTTTTTAATAGAAAAAATACCCTGACAATGAATATAATTAAACATTTGTGTGATTTCATACTCCCTCCAAAAAATTGAACTCATATTGCAATGAACGAGAACATCAATGGGTACAACCAAATGTATTTGAATACAAATTTACAGAATCTTTTAGTAAAATTTGAGAACCATACAGAAAATACTTCATTAGAAAAATGTCAATCAACTGTCTCAAACTTGAATGCTTCTTTGTCTTCACATCAATCATTCTCTGTTCTTGTTCACTTATTTTCAATCTTCTTAATTTTCTACCACTAAACATTTCACTTTCGATTGATGATAAATACTACTTATATCTGCCGGCATCAGTAGCACACACCACAATATTACTGGGCTAGTTAACGATCTAGAAAGATGATTAAAGTTTACTAATCAGTCATTAGATTATTTACAAACATCTTACTGAGTAGCTTGTTACAAATGATCGAATTGTATTCATCTAAATTTAACACGAATATTATTATAGAAAATCACAAAGTATAAAATGTGGTCAGGAAACATGTTTTTATCAGTACAGGTTTGTGAAGATTGTTGAGTTTTTCATTGAAATCATCAATCGATTGATGTTAGACCACCATTGAGAACCTGGAAAGCACTGGACTGCAGTTTCGTTCTAATATGGGCCTCCTCAATAGTGCGCATCCACGATCTCGCTCACGGGATTCGAATCCAGGACATTCGGTCTTGCACGAGAACGTATAACCTCTAGACCACTAAGCCAGCATCTAACGGTTTTAATGTCTAACCGCAACTAATCCATGAAATTGAACAACTATCCAGTGCTTCCAAGTTTTTGATGGTATTCTAACATCAATCAATTCATGATCTCAATGAAAAAACATATTTTTAATCATTTGAAATAATATAAATTTTAGTATCGGGTTTCTTCGTTGTGTAGTTGTAATGTACAGATGATAGATATTATAACTTCAGTTATCATTTTCAATTTGTATCAAAAGTTTCTTTCACATGGTTTATCTTTTTTTGTATTTTATTATTATTATTATCTTTTCAGAATTATCGTTATAATCCTTATTTACTGGGTAGTGTTCACAAGACTGCAGTGAAAAAAATTGGACCATATAAACCATCACAAGAAAAGTATATGTAATAAGCTTAATACAATGAATTGAGTAATAATTGTAATAAATTATACTATAAGTTCAGTAATAATAAACGATACAATTCGACACTGATAATAAATTGAATGTTTTTTTTAAAAAACTAATGGTACTTTTTCTTTCTTTTTTTTATTCTTTCAAAATATTGTACTTTAAGTTATAGATCATTAGGTATATGGTTTTCTTGACCTTTGGATTAACGAAATTGTACAATAATTCTCATATTGAATGAATCAATTTTTTCGTAGACCTTTATTATATAGGATTATCATGATGTAGTTGAAGTGTTATGTGTTATAATTTAGTTTATTTTCGATTACATAAAGTGAATGAATGAACTTTATATATGGAAGTATGAATCTAAATGATTCAATATGTAGTTGCATAATTAATTCACATATTTGATAGGGTATGAAACCTGTGATAATACATAAAGAGAGATTTTAAACTTCAATTCCATCAATTATGTTAAATTTAGTGAACTATGAACAAAATATTGTGTCAACATTCATTGTTATGAATGTTTATAGTTCCGGTATTTTCTACAAGATATAAAAAAGGACCTAATGAAGAACCATAGATATGGTCAATCACAGTACCCTCTTGAATAATTAGGTGTTCATAAAGATATTGGCAAAATGATCACAAGTTTTTATAGTACACTGTATATTTCTCTAACGTTTCACAAGGATTTTTACTGAATTCCCACATCAATCATGTTGATCTCAAAAGTTCACTTGTAAGTAATGGAATTTTAACGGCCATGTGATTAAACTTACTTTAGACTGTAGACCTTCGGAATAATTCAAAGAGGTGAATACTACACATGATCCAGTTTGAAGGTTTTATCAAGAAGTAATTAAAAATGTTGATAAACAGAACATGTAAGTTATGCACATATGAGTTTAATCACGAATGTATATAAGCTAGATAGTAGGTAATAACGTGACAGAACTAAAGAGGATTATAGACTTATTCTAAGGAACGTATATTGCTTAGTGAGTACAGGATGAATGCATAACGTCAATTTCATTCAATTTTTGAAGCATCATATAACGAAACCTGTATTTAAGTGTAGGTGCACATGGTAAAATTCAAACGTCAGCGCTTTGTCCACCGGGCTCTTGATTTATCAAATATAACAATCGATTTCACTGATAAATAACTTCTAAAAAATTAAAATATTTGTCACAAATAAGTCTAAGGTTCATTGCTTTACATTGTCTAAGTATAGAGAGGTAATTGTGATATTAGTCATTAGAATAGATAGTAACGTAACACCAAATAATATAAGCTATTCTGTTAACAGCCTCTTTCTACTAAAATCTAACAATATTGGCTTTCTAATTTATCTGTTATAATTAAATAATCTAACCACAAATTGTAGTTGATATCGGTGTAAACATCTTTAGTACAATGAACTGACTGAACAAATCTTTCACTGAAATATACATTCAAACTATTCCGACTTGTACTCATGGGCAAATATTGATAAGGAAACGAATTAAAAAAGCCAAATGTCACATAAATAACAACAATAACAGGAACAATCCATGTAAAACATTACAATTCTAATTTAAACATAAGCGAAATATTGAACGGTGATAATCATAAAACAATGAAATGATGTAAATCCATGTCAAACAACTGAATAGATTCTAAAATCCAAATGACTGTGTAACATTGTGGGCAATATGTAAAGTTGATAGTTAGATTTTAGATTGAAAACATGAATGGACGAATGTTGGACTACCATTGCAGACCTGGAAGAACTGGACGGTCGTTTCGTCCAATCTCCACAACCTCACACTGATAGTTAGATTTTAGTTTAATAAATTGTAAACTGACTTTGAAAATACCTAAGTGATAGTCATTTACATACTACGTATTATTTGAAAATATTCATTCTTGAGTTAAATATTTTACATGAACTTGTTTCGTTTTGCTAAAATCAAAACAATACATCTTGAAAAGCAGCTGTTCTGTATTTCGACGTCTGTTTGTTGAAGGTTTGGTTTCGATAATTCGGGTCTTGCCATCAATTATCAATTAATAACGCTAATTACATGAATTCAGATGATCAATCTTACACACACACACACACATGGTAATACAAATTCTCATCTCTTACAAGAACTAGATTCTATCTGCTTTGGATCGTTCTGTCATAAACTATGCAGTTCTCTGAGGTATTTAGTGATTGTCTGATTGCTCTGCGTTCATGATATTCAATTAAATCTTTGCTCATCGTTGTGTTCGCATCAAAATTTACCTAATACTTCAGTATTTTTTATATCAAGAGATAGTTTAAATTAGTTATCGAACGATTTGTAACTTGACGGGTGAGTTTCAGGTTTGTGTGATAAGGAACTAAGATTGTATTAGTCGATCTTCAGAGAATCTACGTACGAAAGTTGATAATATTCAGGCAAGACAATAAATACTACTCACGATATAGGTGGATGGTGAAATTCACATAAAGCACAATCCCTAGCTATACGAACAAATTAATAATGATTCGAAGTCTTTCACATTTCAGCAATGATAGCAAATAATAAGTTTTGATGGGAATCCACATCAAGAGGAATATTTTGTGAACAACATGAAAACAAATTATTCTCAATCAATGCAGCTCAGCAATCATTCGTCAACTATGTCGAAACGATTGCTTGTTCATGAAAAACCTAATCATAACATATTGCACACATTTCACCACAACCTGACAACACTGGTCACAACGAAGTCTCACTATTCCAACATCAAATCCCAAAAAAATATCACTATTCAAAATGCACATTGTTATCATAATAATATTTTATTTTCATTTATCAACATTTAATGCAATTAATAATAATTAACGAATCTGAATACAGTTTGAAATGACTAAATATCATCTTATTTGCATTTGGAAGGACACGAACACCCACACGTACACCCTGAACATTGGCATTGACCAGATGGACAATCACATCCTTTGCCCGATGCACATCCAGAACAGCATTTACAGTTTCCACTACCACCACCACAACCTTCAATTCAACAGAGAGAATAAATATTTAATGTTAATAACAACTGTGATGAATGATTTCTGGAGAATGTGAATAGATGATGATGATGATGATGATGATGATGCCATCCAACAACAATCTTACCTGGCATGATTATTCTTACTAAGAGACTTTAGTGTATAATTTGTCCGAAGTATCGTTCGCATATATACATTTTCATTTTCTATGCTTCATATGTGATAAACACATAGGAAAATGAACCAATAGGAATCGTGATATTTTTCACATTGCATCACTGATTGGTTGAAATTCTCAGAACACTAGTGTTTAGACAGAAATTGTAGACTGGAAAATAATGAAAAAATTGTTATTGTTGTTGTTTGTAGTGGATAAGAAACTCATTATTTTATCATAACTGCTTGACTGTAATTGTAAAACAAGGTTTGTTAGATTGTCATCACTCATTATTACAACTTTGAATTTCATTTTCATTGAAATTTCTTACATGAATCATTGTGTTGTTTGCTCTAGTAATATCCCTTATGTTTATCTACATCGATTTGTATTTGTTTCAGTTCACACAACATATGATAGTTGTCTGAGCACAGTTTTATTTTGAATGTGTGATTCGACTACATCATCTAGATTCAATAGTAGGCAAATTTTCTCGATAACATTCAACGTTATTATTGAAATTCTAGAACACATTATCGACGATACTTTCCGAAGTTAGTATCAATAGAACTTGATAACTACTCGTCTTCACTGTCTTTGTGAAACACTTTTACTGCTTAATACACATTTCCTAGTCGTCCGCGTGTTTCAGAAAATCCTTGAAGTTGTTATCAACCATAGGGATCACTTTTTCTCCAGTTTAACTGTTCAAAAAGCTTTCCATAATATTTAGTACATGTCAACGTGGAAAAGTTTGCTACAATAGTTGCATTGAAAACTCTATTCAGAAAAGATGAGGATGCTAGTGAGGTTAGTTGCGCACAATACTAGAGACTTCCCATCTGTATAATTTACTTTAAAACTCGCATTTAAACAAATATCTGAAAATCAGTCAGTGAGCATGAAGCTTGTATCGACCTTCCGAAAAAGAATAAATCTCGTTTCCGTTTCAGTTAATACAGCTCCATGCATTTCATTTTACATGGTAGCATTTCCGAGACTTCTGGTTCAAGAAGAGTATCAGTCGACCCGATACCTATGTTTCGATGATAATGCATAGCAGATGGTTTTTCATTTAGGAAGAGTTTGGAAATACACTGATGGAATACCAACGTGAGTAATATGCTGTTACGTATTATCCCCACGCTGAAAGTCAAGGTATGCATGATGTACAATGGAAATATATGTTTGTTATGTCTTAACGCACATTTAGTATAAAATGGAAAACACAAGAGATGAAGATCAATAAAAGTTCGTCAGAATTTTCATGCGAAAGTAATATTTAAGCTTCACGTTCCTTAGTTGTGGGTCACTTTGTTTGTTACACTGCAACTGCATGAATACATTGTGATGTATATCATGATGGCTCGTAATCATCCATGTAGTAATTCATCGGCAGGTTGTGATCCATGGATCAGAAGACTGTCATATGAGAATGAGAAAAATTTGAACTCCGTACTGTTATGATTGATCTCTTCGGAATAAATACTCGGATATCTGAAAGAAACTTGTTGCGAAAACGCAACTATCAACGACACAAAAATTGTGAGGTTTGAAATTATTATTTGTATATATATATATATATATATAAATGATGACACTTTCAGATTCCAACATACATTTGCATGTCTTCAGTATGATAAGACAACGTCGACAACTACGGGTATATTTCTCTGATGATGGTAATCTTACAAAAGACTGTTCTGCAAACAATCACCACCTTGAACTGTACCGAAATTATCGTGAATTACTCAGTACATCTATCACATGCAATACTACAAATAAGGAATGAAGATGAGGAATGATAAATTTAAATATATAGGTACTCGTTGTTATAGTTGAGAAGAGTCGTAAATTGTGGGAGAAGACTAAAAATGGATTAACCCTAGATGTAAATTGGATGATCAATAAATTTACTTCAATCGTTTGTAACACT